TCAATATGATTAATAATAAATGCTTTTCAAGCCCTGTTTGATTCAAACTGAATAGTTATGCATATTCATTCGTTTAAATAGATATGAAATAAAATACTTTAAAAACACATGCATTTAAATGCCCATTTAATCATCTTTCTCCCTATTTCATATTATAATGCTAATATGATAAATAATCTTTAAAACTACATAAAGTGTAGTTTTTTTTTTTTTTTTGTTGGTGCCAGTAGGAGCTTTTTTATAATTCAGCTCTGTTCTTTTCATAAGTCATCTATGACCATGAAGAACTCTTAAAACTGTCCATTGTTTGAAGATACTGTATGCAAGTGTTTTTTCTTCTCCATTTAGAATGACAATCATTTAAAAAAAAAGATTAATTTGATGATCTTAGCACAGATCAACTAAAAGTTCTGGAATTTTTTAAAATTTGGCTCTAGGATTAAAAAAAATTGAATAATTTAATTTGCTAAAGTTCTATAGTTATCCTACTGTAAGAATAATGTCCAGAGTTTGATTGGTTGTTAACATTTTTACTGTATAATCTAAGGTTATAAATGTAATATTTACAGGACAACAATAAACCTATAGGTTTGGTTTCTCCAGAATTAGAATAATTTTACATTATGTTAGATGCACAGACTTGTGCCAGCATAGGTCATTTCTTAAATAAGTGTAAAAAATGTTATCAGATGAGCAACAGATCTGCTGATCAGAACTCAAGCTTCACTTATTATTGGTTCTATCTGGCAGTCCAGCTGTGTTCCTGATCCTGTTTAATATTATCTGATGTCTAAGTGACCAGGTACCAACAGGACCTTGGAAATTAGAGGGAAAAATATATTTGAGTAGTTTAATTTTATCATCAAAAAAGTATAACCTGTACTTAAGAGGATTGTTTAAAAACTTTACATAACATTCTGTCATCCCTGCACTAATGGTAGCAAGCTACGATGTAGTCACAGCTACCTGGGGGCAGAGTGATGGCAGGGAGGCTCCCATGCACAGGCGTCACCAGCAGGCAAGGAGGGGAAGTGTCATACCCATATCCATCGATGCAACCATGTTTGTTTTGCTTCAACCTGGCGTTTTTGGTTGACGTCAGCATGTTACTGCATTTCATTGGTTCTAAATATTTCTGTATTTTGAGGTTAATGCATCTTTTGGCTTCTGACAAGATGTATTTTGGGGAGTTTCTGATTTCACAAACACATTCTCGCAACAATTCTTCTAGCTTGCAAGGTAAGTACTCACTTGGTATATATACCATGTAAGTACTTAACTTGAAAAACTTAAAGGCCCTATATTATGCAGAATTAACTTTATAAACATTTTATACCGGTCAGGCTTCAGTTTCCTTGTTTATGAGGTTTACAAATGAACCCCTTTCACATCTCTCGCATCATTTCTCCTCCTGTGCGCAAAATGTGCTGTTTGAAGATCAAGCTTTATGATGTCATCAGGGGAAATACGCTGAACAGAACAGTCTGTAGCGTCCTATCTGTAAAGCTATGGCCTTCATCTAATGTTTTATTTTGTGCTCCTGGGCTATTTTTATGAACTCTGAATGGTTGTCAGGATTGTTGGTTGTGCTTTCAGCTTTCAGGAGGACAGGGGCATCCAAAGGGGAAATCCAAAACAGCTTGTTTAGAAGAGGGTTGAATAAGAAGACTTTTGGTAAAGACTGTCTGACTAATCTGAGGGAAATTTTCCTGCACAAATGGCAGGAAATAAAGTATTTAAAAACATGGGACCCATTTATTTCCCCAGAGTTGGGCTAACTGCAAGGGATTCATGTAGAATTCCACAGACAATCTCAAATGAGTCCAACTTTCAGCCCGGTTGCAGTAGATATTTTCTAACATATATGACATATTTTGTATCGAGTAGAGGTAAAAGTAGAACATAGCCAAATTAACATTTCCATTTGGGACCCACTTACTTTACAGCCAAACGTAAATCTGCTTTACATATTTTGATCAATTAACACTGTTAAACTGTTTTCAAATGTGTACTGCTGCAACTGAAAACTGTTTGCTATAATTTTACTAGTTTTTAAAATAGTTTTCTACATTTCATCTAAAGAGAACAGTTTGGACACCTTACAGTCTCTGAAAAACCAGCAGGGTCTTTGTTTTTCACAAAGGAAGTGAAAAGATCAGGGTGTTTTTCAGTCATTCGACGGTTGGACAGGATGCTGGTAACACCGCTGTGTCTGATGCTGAGTGAGTATAAACACAGCAATATCCGTTCAAAACTACTCTTTAGATTTATTAAATGTTAAATATCTACATATATCTTTTCATGTGCTTGTTTTAGGGTTGAATTAGTATCTGACGTAGCCTTTATTATTCCTTTTAAGTCGTATGAGGATGGCCTATCATGTATTGAAAATTAGGTTTTTTACTTCCACGTACTTTGATTTTATTTGTTTGGGGGACACGCTCACCCTTTCTATGCCACTTCCTCTTTAAATTTCCTTTTAAATTGAAACTCATAAAGCTGTACTTTATTTAAACCTTTTAATTAAATAATCTTTCTCTTATAATTTTGTTGTATTTACTCTTTACCTCCATCAGTACTTCGTGTAATTTTCAGTCAATTGTAATTGAATTTCATTCTGGTTAATTTTGTATTTCTTTTCTCTTTTTCCCTAATATTCTTTGCTTTTTTAATCCATTTGAACCATCCTTTCCTCCTCCCAGCCTGTCTAAAGGTCAGCCCTGATCGGTCCCAGTTCTTCCGCTATGAATCCATCTCCCTAAGCTGTGAGGATCCTTTGAACTCCACTGACTGGAAGGTAAAGAGGAATACTTCTGATAGCGGGGTCAGGCTCTGCTCCTCAGGCTGGGGATTCGCCTCTTCAGGCTTCAGCTGCATCATTGGAAACACCTACCCAACAGACACAGGGGTCTACTGGTGTGAGTCGGATGGACAGGAGCGAAGCAATGTGGTCAACATCACCATAACTGGTACAGAAAATCCATATTGGTAGAGTCAGCGTGCTTTTTGGCTTTGAAAATCATTTCCTTGTTTTATGCGGAGCTTCTCTGCAAGGCATAAATTAAATAGATAAATCATTGCATTATTATGCCAAGGACTTCAAAGTGTTTAAAATGTTTTACAGACTTTGCAGGGATTTTCTGTTTTTTTTTTAGAAAATCTATTGGTTAGAGTAGAAGTAGAATAAAATAGATAAATAATGAAAAAAGAGAAAAAACAACACTCTAAGATAAAATTGCCAAAAGGATGACTATTGATTTAAAAAAATAAATTGTGCAACATGTGCTAAAAGCAAGACCACGTAAATAAATTCTCTTGTTTCAGAGTCGGTGCAACTATGGAGAAAATTCTGTCACTTCGAGTTTTTAGTTTATACATCACAGTGGATGACATCAGCTCCAAATTGGATTGGCTGTTTTTTAGTGGAGCATTTACACATGGGAACAGGAGAATTAATTTTAACTGGATCCTGTAAATAGCAGGAGAAAATCAAAAGATTTGCTCCCTTTTAAATCGTAATAAGTAATCATTTTTTGTTTAATATTTGAAGCTTAATCAGAAGAGTATTGATCTTATGTGAAAAAGCAGGTTTACAAATATCACAAATTAGCCAAATTTTGGCCACTGAATCATTGAAAATCACCCCGTGTCTCACCCAAGTGTTCATGCTGTCTATAACAGGTAATAGATCTGTACTATGTCAACCCAGTGTGAATGTTGAGCATTAAATCTTAAAACTAAATGCTAAAAATATTAGAACAGCTTTTTTCTTCTCCTTTTTTCAAAGATCGTACAGTGATTCTGGAGAGTCCTGTAATGCCAGTGTCCGAGGGAGCTCCCGTGGTTCTACGCTGTAAAGCTGAGAAAAACAGTTCCAACCACAAATACAACTTCTATAAAGATGGCCGCATCATCAGGAGTAAAACCTCTGGAGAGATGATAATTTTCAGTGCTTCCAGATCAGATGAGGGACTCTACACCTGCAGCGCCTCGGGGCTTGGAGAATCAGAAGGCAGCTGGCTGACAGTTTTGGGGGACTGGAATGATCAACAGATTCAGCTCAGTGAGGAATATACCTTATATTCATGATATTTTTCACAGATAACAAGTAGTCTGACAATGGTATTAGATTGCCTTATTGACTCCGACTTTTGGGGTCAGCCTGTCCGTGTTCCATATTGACCAAGGTGTTCACTCGCCTTTCTTGTATCACATATGAACTGTGGTGACATTACCCTCTCATTCTAAGGGATTAATATGGCCCGGCCCTCCCTTTGCAGCTATACCATGTCCAAATGTCCAAAAGGTTTATAAGCATGTGTCTAGCTATTTTTTTTACTTTTTTCAAGAGGCACATTTATGAGGTCCCAGATTTATATTGGATGACATGCCATTTCTCTTAGCACACGCTCTGTTTCATCACAAAGGTGTTCGGTAGAGGAAAAGGGACTTTGCACGCAGGCCAGTTTGATCCACAGCTACCTCCGTTATCCATATATTAGGGTGACCAAAAGTCCTCTTTTGCCCCAGCATGTTGACTTTTCACGTCTTTTCTGAAGTGTTTGGAGGGGGATTATAAATTCATGAAAATGTCAATTTTTCACAGTTTTTATAGGACCATAATCGTTTGCTTGAATTAACAAACGCTTTGCAGAGAATACTACGGTACTTTGATAACTGACATAATTCTCCAGGGACTGCCTTGTTCGAGGCTCTAGCAAGACACCCCCACAGCAGAGCAGCAAGCATGGGACATGAAATCCCGAAAAGAAATAAAAAAAAAAAATGTTGCACGTACTGTCCCAGTTGCAACGAGTGGGAGGCTGAGTGCACCGTGTGCAAAGCCTGCACACTTGTTTCAGTGTCTAATAAAGTTGCTTGAGATCTCAAAGCTCACATAGACACTAAAAAAAAACAAAAAAAGCTGTGCGAGGTGAGAGTCCTTCTGCAAAGTATTTTGTTAGACCTGAAAAAACAGAGGATACGGTAAATGCAGCATAAGGTGCAATAGAATTTAATGTTGTGAAACACCACAAAAGCTAAAGGTCCATAGATTTTACCAGTAAAATGGGGGGCCAAGTGGCGATGTTAAGTGTTTTGACCAGATTACAAATCTGAAAAGTTGCATAGAAAACGCAACAGTGATGAGGAGTTCAGAGGCATGCAGATGTACCAGAAATTGACCAAATTTTTCTAAAACAAAAGTAGTGCAACTTAATAAGAACTACTGAAGATTGCATATATTTGGTGGTGAAAATACTTAGTCATCCAGGTTATAGTCATTCCAAAAAAGTAAAAAAAAAAAAAAACAATCAACTGGACTTTGTTTACAAGTTTGAAGACATTTCACTTCCCATCCAGGAAGCTTTTTCACTTCAAAATGCCGGAATTAGCATGGAGTTTGAAACTTTATATAATAATCCAAAACCTTGTTTTAGCTTAGAAAACATGAAAATCGAACAAGAAGAATAGGTCCACCCCTTAGGAATGAGGAGTTGTTTGGGTTCTTTGTTAGCCTGCAATATGCAACACTGGTCTATGTCTCTGAAAGAGGGGTCAGCATAGAGTGCTTTGCACTTGGCTTTGGAGGAGCTGCTTGGCAAAGGGGGAACTATTCCATGAAGCGTTCTAAACACTATTCTAGAGCTAATCCGAATCTCCCTGAAGTTGGGAAGTCTGTAGCAATTCACTTCAATAAACTGATGACTTATATGCACTATATACTGAAAAGCAACACATTGCTTCATAACAGTTGTCTCAAAAGTCTTCAAGCCTAGGTGCCTGATATTATCTACCCTAGCCAATTGGAATGCTTAATTTCAATGGTGAGGGAATGCTTTTGGCATTGTATATATAATGTTTCAATGTTTTCAAAAGTTTCTTATTGTTTGTCTGCAGCACCTGGGACACTATCTTCCTCAGCTCCACCCACAGCGCCAATTTCAATCCCTGCTTCCAGACTTTTGTGTCACCTGATTGTAGGAATACCATATCTAGTGTCCACCATCCTACTCGGACTAATATACAGGGACAGGAAGAGAGGTAAGGGTATTCTGCTCTCTATCTATAATACTACTTATACTTCAGTGATAGTATCATGGTAACAATTTATTGTATCTCTTATACTATATCAGTTGGTTGTGCTGTTTTTCTTACATGTCTTTGCAGGTGATGAAGCAGACAGAAGATGTTTTATCGTTATCTCCCTTTTTTCTCCTCTATCTTTTGTCTTTTCTAGTTTTTTTTCCTGTATTTCCTTTCCTGTCCTACTTAAATTGCAGTGTCCATACAATCTGTAATACTCCTTGAAATAATATGCTATTAATATGCATAAATCAAGTGGGAGCAGTGGGCTGCCATTGTGTGGCGCCTGGGGAGCAGAGTGGGGTGAAGGGTCTTGCTCAGGAACCAAGAGGGGAGGTTGTGGGGATCAAATCTGATACTTGCAGATTTTAGAGTTTTTACTCTTTCAACTTAGAAAAGTAAGAAATAAAAAAAAAAGACCAAAACATTGAATTAAAGAACAGTTTTGTGTTTGTGGCTTACAGGAAAACCTTTGGAAAGTACCACTGCATGCAGTGTGGCCAGTGAGAAGAACAACTGATATATCCTTAAATTACACAATGGCAATAGATACATCTTAAGTAGCTTTAACATCTGCTTTTTGATTATTATTATTTAATATGATGAAATCTTTCATCCTCTATTAAAGTGTTGTAGCATAAGTAAACCTATTTTGGGTAATCTGCTGCAGACTGCTGAATTTCTACAAGGCACCATTTGTGTCCTTAGAAACTAATAAAGATTTTCCTGAACCCAGAGCAAAATTATAACAGCAGCTTCATCCCATTTCTACTCTACAATTCTGCAGCATTGCTTTGTTCCCTCTCTCTGCTTTTTCTTGTCATAGTAGTTTCGTCTGGTCTGGTCCTGTTTGACTGTGACTCAATGCTGGATCAAAACACCAGCTGTGCTGCTGCCTTTAACACCTTTGTTTAGAAATTTTGGAGCTTGGCATGTTTTCCAGTGTAGTCCTGTTTCTCTGACTGTGACTAACTGGATGTGCTCTCTTCATCCTCTGACATGGGAGCTGGCTCGGAGCTCATCTTTCTGGCTGTGTGTTTCCTGGACAGCTGTAGCTGTGGAACTGGTTAACAGTTACTTTTCGTATATATCCTTTACTTTGTATGTCTGTTTCTGTCTCCTTGAACCCCAGTCTCAATTGTTCTAGATCAGACATGCCAAATATCGCTCCTCAAGGACCACTGTCCTGCAGGTTTTGGAAATTTCTCTGCTTTAGCACAGAATTCAGTTGGCCCTTGTAAGGTGTTTGTGGACTAATCCTTCTGTTGAAGCAGAGCTACAAGCTAATTTAACAGAACCTTATGCACTGAGCATGTGCAAAAAAGGGAGTTCTTCTTCTTCTTCCCGCTTGTCGAGTCCGACCAGCACCATCTCTCGCCGCTGAGTCCGACATGTGGTTTTGGACGTACAGTGTGAGTAGGTATATCGCATCATAGCATCGGGCTGCATAGTGTGAGAACATACATTTTGAGCTGTGAACTTTTAAATCCTGCGGTTGCATTGCAGATTTTGAACTGTAGATGTGTGCAATGATTTAAAATATCGCACAGTGTATGCCTAGCTTTAATCAGCTATCAATTAAAATCTGCTGTGCTGGAGCAGGGAAACCTTTAAAACCTGCAGAATGGCAGCCCTCGAGGACCGACTCTCAGCATGCCTGCTGTAGAATGACAAATTGCGGGAGAAAATCATCCGAACAAGTTCTTCCAGGAGGAGCATGTCAATGCTCAACTCAATGCAATCAACATGTTTTCCTAGCCAATTTTATTGTCTCTGTAAAGCACCTTGAGATGATGTGTGTTGTTAATTAGCACTATATAAATAAACAGAATTTAAATGAATTCTGATGAATAACATTTGCACACATTAAATATTGGGATTTTGTAACATCTTTACTTTTTTTTTTTATAGCTGCTCGGATGGTTGACAAGAGGGAAAATGTTGATATTATCATGGAAAGGATTGTGTAAGTCATCTCCAGCACCCATCACCCAGAGAGAAAGTGGTGTCTGTCCGACATGAACTCAGAGATTCTGATGTAAAGAAAAAATCAGGATGTTTTTGGTGCTCAAGTAAATGTTTATATATATCATGATAGGATTTCAGTGTGAGAGGAAGATTTCTTTTTATGCTGAAGCACATTTTAGATGCAGAATGCATATTTACTATGAGGGGAAAGTTTGTCTTTGTTAATCAAAAAAAGGTGTTAGTGGTTTTGATCACGAACATGCTGTCATCAACTTTTTGTTATGCTCCTCCTCTGTTTTCTCTATGGACATTTAGTCTGCAAACCATGTTGTTGGATTTTCTTTCATTTTCATTTTGTTTTATTAAAACAAAAACAAGAGCTTAATAGAATAATAGACATTAAATGTAATGGTGTGCTGATTTAGGTCTTTGACCCTCTATAGGTCAGCTGTGGTTAGCTTGCTGAAATGAATGTTTGTGTGGTTTTTTTCTCAGAAGGCAGGAACAGTTTGTCCGCAAATAAGCAGAATTTAGGTTATAACCCATGACAACATAAAATGAATGATACACCTACACATTCTACAAACAACAAAGAGAACTATGTTTCAGTTTGGGCATGTGCAGCCGAATGGTTTAACTCAGGAGTGATCCAGTTCAGTCCTCAGAGCTACTATCCTGCAAATTTTTTATGCAACTTGTTTTTAAAACACCTGAATAAAATGAGTGGCTCGTTATCATGCATTTGCTGAACTAAATGAAGGGATTGAGCCTATAATTTGGTGTATTCGAGAATAAGTTTATCTAAAAGTTACTAGATCATAGCGCTTGAGGACTGGACTTTAACAGCTCTGGTTTAACTGATGTCGGAAATTAGTTTATTCTGTGACTGATAATTACGTCAAACTTCTACTCTTAAAAAACTTGACTTCTTAATTAATGAAGAATAGCTGTTTCAAGGATGATTTTAAAGCTATCATGTATAAAATATTCAGATTTTTTTGCTTTACAATGTACAAGATAATCAAAATCATGCATTTTGCATACACTCTGTGTACACAAAATGACAATAAAGTTTGTATAAGTCTAAGATTCTAGATATGTTTTTTTTCTGTCAGTGAGGAGAAAAGGCAAAATACCTTTTTAAGCTAATACTGTGAATTTGTTTGTTAAAAATAAAAAGCCTTGTTTAATTTTAAGCTGAAAACCATCTGCCTTTATCTAACTTTCTAACTATCATCCTCCTCTATCACACCAACTCTCTAAGCTTGTCAAATTCATCCATAAACCTTTTCTGTGTTTTTCTTCTTTTTGTCTTTTCCAATATCCTTGATCCAACATCTCCACTCTCCTGTCTGTATCTCCCCAGAGGCCTAAATTTATCCACCTTCAGGACATTTATTCCTTTCAGCATCATTGCTTAATCCTTTCTTCATCCACATTTCATTTTCTTTGTACTTATCTTGAATTTGACCAGACAAAGTTTAAGTGCAACATTTATAATTCAGTGAAGTTTCTCAGATGAGGGTTAACAATCTCTTAAATAATGTAACTAAAACATCTGATGTCCTATTGGATGCTGAGCTGAGATAACCCAAACATTGCGTGGATGATATTTTGAGCTGATATTAGTTAGATCTTAGTTTTTGTATTGGCATTGGTCAATACATACAGGTGTTCTCGGATTCATTAGTGCGCTCAGCAGCCATGCCTTAAAGCAGGTGATGTCAGTGTTTTTGATTGTTAAAATTAAGACTTGTTGAATATTCATTTCTTTTTATTTTATTATTTTATCTTAGTCCTCAAGTAGCTGCATGTTAACCAGCCAGCTAAATGGACATTCTTATGTTGGCTTAAGATGACCAGAGGGTCAGAGAGAGTCATCACCTTAAATGGTAATGCTGTAGTGTAGCAGAGAAAGGCAGGAAAATGCAGCTTGGGAATCACTTTCTTGCTGCTTGTAGCATGTTTAGATAAACTGGAAAATATTTAGTATTTCTGGGCCATGCTGCTGTCCCACAGCAAATGATCAAGAAGAAAACAGAACTAAGAAACTTCCCTCCTTGGATTATAAAGGGGTTGATCGAACAGACTTACGCAACATTTGTTAACATTATGTCATTATTATTATTATGTAAATAGAGGCTGGACAGGCGAAATTGGCTTTAAAATTACTTCCCCTAGAAATCAACATTAGGAATATACAGTAAAGGGATCCTGGAGACTAATGTCAAAATAATGTACATTGGTCTTCAAAAGCCTATATCAACTGATGTTTAGGTTTGAATCTGTACTAGGAAACTCAAAGGTCTGAGTTTTGTTAATATTAATGAGTTACAGATTAGCTTGTTAATCAGTATTGCTCAGTTTGTAGCTCAGAGCATAAGAAAAAAAATTTTATGGAGTGAAACAGAAATTGGCAGAACAATCTGAGATCTCTCGTTGAGATAGAGGATGTGATCAGCATCCACATGTAAAGTAAAACAATATATATATATATA